CCATTCAAGTCTAGGGGTACAGGCATGGCCAGCATGAATGGGCAGTATATCGAGGCTGGAGATCCCCAGCAAGCGGCCCTGTTCAAGTCTAGGGGTACAGGCATGGCCAGCATTAATGGGCAGTATATCGAAGCTGGAGATCCTCAGCAAATGGTGCCATTCAAGTCTAGGGGTACAGGCATGGCCAGCATGAATGGGCAGTATATCGAGGCTGGAGATCCCCAGCAAGCGGCCCCGTTCAAGTCGAGGGGTACAGGCATTGCCAGCATGAGAGGGCAGTATATCGAGGCTTGGAGATCCCCAGCAAGCGGCCCCCCGTTCAAGTCTAGGGGGTACAGGCATGGCCAGCATGAATGGGCAGTATATCGAGGCTGGAGATCCTCAGCAAATGGTGCCATTCAAGTCTAGGGGTACAGGCATGGCCAGCGCTGTAGAAGATTTCATTGGACAGGCTGTCAACACTGGAGAAGGCTGTGGAAGCGCTTTGGATATAAGTAAACTCCAAATTTTAGTGGGATTGGTGCAGATTGGTTTAGAGAGGCTGGAGGGTTGATATAGTTTAGGTAAAGGTGGAGCTATCCTTTAAAACATCAGCTTGGCACCAATAAACTGTTTTTTTTGGGAACATTAACTGCTATGCAGGCCAAGTATTCCTATCTCTATTGTGTGTCAAGAGGCTGTAGTCCCAGACAGAAGCACGTCCGATCCGAACAAACTGTTGCCGCAAAATGGTATGAATTGGGAAAGGGATTCCACGCTGTTTTTCTTTTTCATTTCAACATTTAACAACATAAATTATTTCCGAATGAGTCGTAAAAAAATTCAGGTGCTTTCGAAATTTCGTTATTAAAAATTCGGGTATTTTCGAATTCGTTATTTTTTCATTCCGAAATTCATGTCTAATTATTATAGATTTATCGATTAGTTGGTTGCAGCCCTAATAATTTCACATAAAAATAATTGAATTTGCTCTCTGAATTCCATCCCATTATCTACCAAACCTTAGCTACACCTATGGCAGCTGTGCCCTTTTTTCTGGTTCCAAGAACTTGCAGGGTTCCAAAAAAAAGTATTGAACTGGGAGGTTCCCTTGAAGAGGAAATCGGGAATAATTATCTGTCAGATTGGGTGATTTTCCTAGAATAGACCTGAACAACCTGTTCCAAGTATCCTGAGGCCTACCGGATACAAAATGGCGGCGATCACTAGCCTTTCAACCTGTTACTTGGGTTTGGACAAATCATCATTCCCTGGATTACTCACAAGGTGACACACGTGTAATCTCTTATGAACTCTGAACATGTGAATGTCATCTGAAAATTGTTTTCAATTTTTAAATCTGTAGCTTTCATTAAAATAATACCTGGTGATCCTGCAATGAATGTCTCCATTATCCGGGACTTACTATTATGGGGTGACAATGAAAGAAAGGCTTGAACCCCAAAACGTGTCACCACATCAATGTTCCCAGAAGCAACCCATCTCCTTTCCCAAGGCACGTCCAGGCAACCAAGAATGCCGCACACCTTCCACCTCAGAGCAGGTTGGTTACAGAGGATGTTTGCAGGCAGCTAGCTACCATAGAAATGTTCACAGAAGTGATCCATCTCCTTCCCCAAGGCACGTCTAGGCAACCAAGGACACCGTACACCTTCCACCTCAGTGAGGGTCCGTTATAGAGGATGTTTGCAGGCAGCTAGCCACCATAGCAATGTTCACAGAAGTGATCCATCTCCTTCCCCAAGGCACGTCTAGGCAACCAAGGACACCGTACACCTTCCACCTCAGTGAGGGTCCGTTATAGAGGATGTTTGCAGGCAGCTAGCCACCATAGCAATGTTCACAGAAGTGATCCATCTCCTTCCCCAAGGCACGTCTAGGCAACCAAGGACACCGTACACCTTCCACCTCAGTGAGGGTCCGTTATAGAGGATGTTTGCAGGCAGCTAGCCACCATAGCAATGTTCACAGAAGTGATCCATCTCCTTCCCCAAGGCACGTCTAGGCAACCAAGGACACCGTACACCTTCCACCTCAGTGAGGGTCCGTTATAGAGGATGTTTGCAGGCAGCTAGCCACCATAGCAATGTTCACAGAAGTGATCCATCTCCTTCCCCAAGGCACGTCTAGGCAACCAAGGACACCGTACACCTTCCACCTCAGTGAGGGTCCGTTATAGAGGATGTTTGCAGGCAGCTAGCCACCATAGCAATGTTCACAGAAGTGATCCATCTCCTTCCCCAAGGCACGTCTAGGCAACCAAGGACACCGTACACCTTCCACCTCAGTGAGGGTCCGTTATAGAGGATGTTTGCAGGCAGCTAGCCACCATAGCAATGTTCCCGGAAGTGACCCATCTCTTTCCCCAAGGCACGTAAAGGCAACCAAGGACACCGCACACCTTTCACCTCAGTGAGGGTCGGTGACAGTGGATGTTTGCACAGCTCCACCATTGGCCAGGGTTCGCTGTGCTAAAAACTGCTGTACCTCAGGCTCTTTGATGCAATATTTGATCCCTCAGGGCTGGTTCACATAAGCCCACATGCTTAAACGCCAGTGGGTGGGAGGCGTGCCACGCTGTCTCAATGCATCACACTGTTTACTTCTTTTATTGTGTGTTTTAACACCATAGACTTCAGTGGGAGCGCCAGCAAAACGCCTGAAATCCACACGTAACTTGATTCCCCGCCCAACAACTGCCTCCGTCTCATAGTAACTAGCTTTCCATTGGCTAAAAAAAGCCTTAAAACGCCTGAAAAACATGCAAAAACATAATACAGTTGCACTTTAATGAAATATTTGTTATCAGAAATCACAAATAATTGATAGACTTGAAAACGCACCCTTCTTTACACCCCTGAGTCTAATGGTAATGGTAAATACATATTTGAAAACACACTATGACAGTAGCAGGCAACGCACCCACACAGCATCCAAATTTTTGATAAATTCCCCCCGATGTGTGTCAACAATTTTTTACGTTGGTATTGAGATGGTTTTGATGCATTTCATTGATTGCAATACACGTTTGAGAACACACCATTACAGTAGCACTCATTGCAACCACTGCCAACCCATGCCAACTGAATAGGCTGCCTTAATGTTAACATGCATTCTTTCAATAATGCCTTCCTTTAGTACAAATATTCTGTTTATGGGCACTTAGAAAGATATATAAACATTGCAACTGCATTAGCATACATGTCAATGAAGCCTTAGAGCAGTGCAGGTTTTCTTTCTCAAACACGGGCTGCTATAGCATAGGACGTAAACTGAACCAAGCTTCGCCAGCTTCGCCTACTCTTCGCCTACTCTACGCCTACCCTACGCCTACCCTACGCCAATCTTACGCAATTCCTACGCCTTTCTTACGCTAGTGCTCATTGACTTTATATAGGCAGTGCCCGGCCCCGCCCCGCCCCGCCCCGCGTGATGTTTCCGCTTGTAGAGCTGGCTGAAACGCACCGTGCGTTCCAGAAGACCGTAGTGTAGTAGAAAGTCGCGGATGATGTCATCAACAGGCGCCGACGACCGCTTATCGTAGCTGGGTGTGCGGGGAGCAGGGGGTACCGAAGGGGTCATTGTACATGGTGAGTATTAGAAAGGCTGGAGATAAGGGGTTGGTGGGGTCATTATTGTGTAAGAGCAGAGTGTGGTGGGGAAGGCATGCTGGAACTTGTAGTTCCATAGCTGAAGAGACACAAAAAGGCCAAATAAATAGAATGGGGGGGAATTTATCAAAACTGGAGCAGACGTGCATGGCAACCAATCAGCTTCTCTCTTCAGTTTGTTCAGTTAAGATTTGAAAATGAAACAGAGACGATGATTGGTTGTCATGCACAACTGCTCCAGTTTTTTATTTTATTTGTTGCAGTTTTGATAAACTCCCTTCAATGAGTGCTGACAGATATGTTTATAGATGCAGGGAATATTATTTGACAGCCATTTATAGGAAGAATAATGCTGCGTGGTGAACAAGGTAAACTGAGGCGTTTAAAGTGAAACTCTGCTGCAGGGTGATTAATAAGTCCTAAGAGTGATGAACTGAGAAATTGTACAACTTCCAGACCAGCTCACATTATTTTGGGGTGACAAGAAGGTGGTCTTTAATGCCAGGTTGCCCATATATGCGTCCACTGTTCTGTGCTGGAAGCACACTCAGTTACTGACAGGTCCCGGTCCCTGTTTACATTTGGAGGACGGGGATGGGCTCCTGATCAAGAGCAGCCGCCCAGATCACAAGCATCGCCTACTAAAACAAAACCAAACAATGCCAGGGTCATGGCTGCAGCAACCATGATCTTGGTACATCCAGGATGAGAATGTATATGTATGGCTACTCTATCCAAAAAAACAACGGTTTGGCTTCAGATACAGTGGGCTAGGCTTAAAGTGTAATTATATAAACATGTAGTTATAACTGTGAATAGGCTGGGGCAGTTGGTTTTGATGTTGGGTAGTTTTAGCATCTGACTGTCTTTTGTTGTTCCTCACAGCCACCCCTGCCTCCTCTTCCTGCAGCTCCGCTCCTCCAGTTGGGCTTCCAAGACTCACTCCAAACCGCCGTCGACTGAGAACCCAAAAATGGATGGGGTGGAGGGCTGGGTGAGGGATCAGCTCCATGAGGTTCTGGGTATGAGTGACCGTCATGTGGCCCAGTTCCTCGTTGGCACTGCCCGGCGTAGTTCAAGCTCTGCAGATTTGCTAAGCCGTCTAATGGACACCGGAGCGATCGATGTCACGGATAAAGTGCGGCGCTTTGCGGAGGAACTCTGGTTGAAGGTGAGAGAGCTCCCAGTGCTCTGCGTAAGCTGTAAAGTGAAAAAAACTATTTTAACAAAATCAATCAGTCTGTCAATAGATCGGGAGCATGGACTTCTCGTTTTGTTTATTTTTTTGTTTTTAGGCTGTTTGATGTAAAACAGTTATGAGTGATATGAAATGTGTAGTACATGAAGCCTGTCTACAGGTTATATCTGTATCCTAAATCTAACTGGTAAGTATTTTTAAAGTAGAACTATGGGAAAGTAAAATGTACTCTTCCCGGTAGTTAGAGCTGACCTGGGACACTGCAGCTGTCACATGTCAGCTCTGTAGCTCAAGGACTGAGTGACCACAAACTGCTGATCGCTCAGCTCACAGCTTCTCCCTGCAGAGAGCGATGACTGTCGGTCACTGCTGCCTGCAGGGATTCCTTCCTATTCTCTCTATTCCTCCAGCGCTCATTGGAGAGGTGTGCACAGCTGGCTCTAGAGAGGCAGAGCCATCTGTCAATCAGGCAGCGGGGTGGATCCCGACAATACTGTCAGGATCTTTCGTGGCTGCAGCGCACCTCTGCGCTGTCAGCATATAGCAGGCAGTAGCCCGCTATATGCTGAATTTCGGTCACAGGAGGACATTAGTAAATACTGTGGGGGGAATTTATCAAAACTGGAGCAAACAGAATCTGGAGCAGTTGCCCAGGGCAACCAATCAGCATCTCTCTTCAGTTTGATCAGGTAAGATTTGAAAATGAGAGAGAGAAGCTGATTGGCTGCAGTGCGAATCTTCTCCATATTTTGTCTGCTCCAGCTTTGATAAATTCACCCCTGTATACTCCTGTGACCCAAAAGAGAACTGAAGCCAACAAAAAAGATATTCCTCACTTTACGACTTACCTGCTTTACGACCACTCACACTTACGACCAGCTCTCCGACCGTACGTGCGGGAACGTGGCAGCGGCAGTGCGACGTCTCACCGGCGGAAGTGCTGTACTCCGTTCTCCACTGCGGGTCTCGGTAAGTACTTTATTGACTGATTTACAGTACACTGTACAGTACTGTATATCTGCAACACTATACAGTACTGTACTAATGCAGTACAGTACTGTATACAGTTCCTCACTTAACGACCAATTCGTTTAACGACCTGGTCGTAGGAACGGAACTCGGTCGTTAAGTGAGGAATACCTGTAGTTCTCTTTTACCCTTCATCGTTCATTACATCCATGATCTGCTAATGAGGGCAAGTGTTACTGATAAAGCAGCCATAGCAGTCCTGATTAAGAATTGGTAACAATTCACATAGAAGTCCCAGCTAACAGCCCTCGTGTACCACATATGGGGAACTAATCACTTTCAGTTTAATGAGAGGGCATGCTTCTAAAGGTGCCCATACACTGCACGATTATCGTACGATAATCGTATGCGATCGGGTTTTCGTACGATAATCGAGCAGTGTGAACGGAGACGTGCGACCGTTTCTACTGTACGGTCGCACGTCTTCTGTCGAACCAGCATGTTCGAAAACCAGCCGGGAATCGTACGATTCTCGGCTGGTTAGAACGGTGCTCGGAAGACAAATGCTGAACGGGCCGGTGTGCGCACACGCGCACACTGCCCGTTCAGCATTGCGGTCATCGGAAGCCCGCCCCTCAGGAGGGCGGGCTTGCGATGATCGAGAGTGCGATCTGCCTGTCCAAGATAGGCAGATCGTACGTTTTTTTAATCCCTTTACAACCATCGCAAGACTAAAGTCTTGCGATGGTTGTAGAGTGTATGGCCACCTTAAAGCTGGCCACACACGTGGCAATTATCCATCAATTTTCAGCCTTTGGGCCACCTGGGAATTGTAAATATCAGGGCAAATCATCTCCAGAAATAAAGCAGTCTTGCCACCCACAAGTTTTATGAACCACCAAAATATGGTCTATGGTGAGGTTGAAACTGGGCAATGCGCAGTTTTAATAAGGAAGATCTTTTTGAATTGAAATGGAATTGAAACAGGAAAAACGTATGTCAATTTCGATTGGGGCAGTTTTGACCCAGTCTTCCTAGGGCAGATCTAAACCTCCATTTTATGTCTTCAGAAAATATAATCAAAAGTTCAATTGTTGAATTACATTGCCCCAAGTATGGTTAGCTTTACAGTCATTCACATGTGGAAGGGATGCAAAAAAAAAAACCAGGGGCCATGGCCACATCTATTTGCAATGTGGTAGCTGTGATTGGTGGAGCCAGACACAGCATGACTCACACTGACTTTCAATAATCTTCAAAAAAAATAATCTTAACCAGGTTATCTATAGAAATCTAAACAGCTCTTTTTACACTAGAGTGCTTCCTTTAAAAAGATGTTACCTTGATCATGCAGGGCAAGGTGCCTCTGGAAAGGGAATCCCCTCACTTTGCCTGTGCTACCTCACCTCTCAGCTCTGTGCTACCTCTCAGCTCTTGCTCCTTTGCAGCCATTGCTGAAAGTGTCGGTGACCCAAGGGACTGGTGATGTCACGTTCCTGTCATGTGACAGTGCTTGGGAGCAACGATTAGCTGTTGGGCCTGGGCACCATCACAGGGAAGCAGGGCACATACGTCTCCGTAGCAAGAAGAATCAGGTTCTGAGGAGAAGCAAGGAGCTGCAAGGAAGTTCAGATAAGGTGAATATATGTGGATTGGGGGGAAGGCTCTTCAGAGACACCAGCACCTTGCTCTGCATGGGCAATATGACAGTGTCTCCTTAAAGAAGAAATGCTTTGTATGGAGGGTTCTTGAAGCATGTTTTGTCAAGTCAGGACATTCATGTGATGATTCCATGTGACTGGTTAGCGCTCATTCTCTTTTCTTTATAGGTAGGGCAGTTATTTTATGGTTGCCCTTTCTTGGTAAGAGTTTGGCACAACAGCCATGCATGATCTGCTTTGAAGTTCCTCCAGCAGTCTCCTACCCTCAATGCTCATATATCCCCTTGCTCATCAGAGTTGTCTGCTAGTCCCGCTGACTTAATTGATGTAACATTTAAAACACTGACACCTACAGAACCAATGGCAGTGGCTCATTGTTGGGTACCACGTTTTCCCATAACGTCTTCCAGGACAGCATCACGAGATGGAATCTCCTCCATTTTTCAACAACTGTCTTGATTTGTTGTCTTTTATGCACAGCTTCCCCAAAAAGTGTCAGTTGAACGCCCAGCTCGGGCAGCAGAGCGAGAGGCCCTGGCCATTCAACAGAAAAACAAATCCTACGCTCTTCTGGAAGATAGTGATGAGGAAGAGGCAAAGGAGGAGAGCAAAGGTGACAAGAAAAGGAGGAAGAAACATCTGAGGAAGAGGAGGAAAGAAGAGTCGTCTGAGAGTGAGAGTGACCATGCACAGTGAGTACAGCTGGTCCTGGACTTGTGTAATATTTTTTTTTCTCTGGTGGTTCAAAAATATTGTATATAATTGTGTAATAATTTTGTTTGTAACCACTGCACAATAGCAAAGAAGCTGTTCCCTATCATCACACAATATGCAAAAGTAAAAAGTACTGGAGCAATTATACCATTCTGGTTTGGTTCATAGTAGACAATGATATCTTGCCTTGCAGTAAAGTAGGTGTGAATCCTAAATGGGGGGAAATTTAGTTTGCTAAAACACTGCTTATCCTAACCAAGTCTACTTTTTTAAAACAAAATACTTGTTTCCACTCAGTTGTATATCAGCACTGCTTATCTCCTGCAGCTTCTTTATTAGGGATGCACAGATACCAATACTGGTATTGATATCAGGGCCGATACTGAGTATTTGGTCGAGTGCAGGTACTTGCCCAAATACATACCTACGATACCGGAACTTCCAGTCATAGGGAGATCTCCCTCTGATTGGCAGTGCTGAGGGAGCATGGAGCCGGCTTCCTTTGCATTCAGGGAGTCGGCTTCCTTTGCAATCAGGGAGCCAGGCGGCGGGTTATGACCCACCTCCCAGCTTCCTGATTGGCTAGGAAGTCGACTTCACTTGTGGTTAGGAAGCAAGGCTGTCTATTAAATCAGGAAGCGGAGCGGCATGTCATGACCCACCTCCCGGCTTCCTGATTGGCCAGGCAACCAGGCTGCCTAGCAAAAAGTGAAGCCAGCTTCCTAGCTAATCAAAAAGCTGGCTTCACTTGTTGCTAGGCAGCCTGCCTTCCTGACCAGTCAGGAAGCCGGGCAGCAGCTCATGACCTTCCGCCCAGCTTCCTGATTGGTCAGGAATCCAGGCAGCCTCGGGAAGTGAAGCCGGTGTTCTTTCGATAGAACACCGTCATCCCAGGCAATCGGGAAGCCCGGCAGCGGGTCATGATAATCGGAGCACACAGCCCCGGTATTGTCGAGTACTGAAAAAAAAATATGGGTACTTGATACCGAAAACCCGGTATCGGTGCATCCCTAGTCTTTATAGCCACTTCCTTTCTACGTGCACTCCAACTATGGCTCCATGGCACTTCTCAGGGCAGGTTTCCCATAAAATGTTAGTCTGCACAGAGGCTTGTAGTCTCCATTGGGAGAGCATGTGGCAGGGTGACAGTGTAGGAACACAATTTGGAGACAGGCACAGAGTGTTGTCACCCTATTACAGGAGGTGCCTGCACAAGGAACTTCATAGAAGGCTCACCAAATATTATATAAATGGAAGTTGCACATTTAAAGGTATTAAAAATGAATAAAATGTTCATGAATATATTAAAGCTTATATGAGATTTTTGGAAACGAGTTTATATATACCGTAAGGCTAGATTCAACGTTTAGATGGTCTGTGTATGTTGAAGCTGCTGGTGCATTGTTTACGTTTAAAGCCTGGCATGGCCACCGGACCCTGAAAGAATCTGCACTCTAGTCACATTAGCCAGCATAGGGACTGCAGATTGTCATACAAAATAGATCTTGCTCCAAATATTGATTTGTCCATCTCTATGACTTCCAGGAAAGAAAAAGCTCCATCACCTCAGCTAATCTCTGATGATGAAGAAGACCAAGAAGAGATGGAACGGATAAAGGATCTGGAGGAAAGAGATGCTTTTGCAGAAAGAGTGAAGCAGAGAGATAAAGATAAAACCAGGAATATTGTGGAGAGGTCAGATAAAAAGGTAAGGTGGTTGAGAACAGCAAGTTGACTATAGAGACTAGGCACCGCGGGGAAGTATTCTACATGCTAGAAATGTCCACAGCAGAAGATAGCCTCTGTATATTTTGTTACATTCCTTCATTGTTTTTCTAGAACTACATTTTCATTCATGCTCTGCATTGTAGGCATACGAGGAAGCGCAGAAGAGACTAAAGGTGGCGGAAGAAGATCGTAAAAAAATGGTAAGGCAATTCCTGCGGTGATATTACAGTGTTTAGTTTTTTGACTGAGGTTTAATATGTCCAGTAAATCTATATCACTTCTTTTTTTCATCATCAATATCAGTTAAATGTATTAATATCTGTAATCAGATATTACTGATAAACACTGTGCGAATTTGACACAGTGGGTGCTGCTGTCTAGCCGGTGTCCTCCTATCAATCAAAAAGATCTCCTTCAGGTCCACTCCTCTGCTGGTTGACAGCAGGCAGTGGGCGGCTGCAATAGCCAACCTGCTATGGCATTTTGAAATAGCCAATAGCAGGTTTGCTATTGCTTTTAGCCACTTGAGTAGATTCTTGCCTCGGTAAAATAGGACATGGGGAAGCAGAGGGGGCAGTGGAGCGGCCGGCGGGAGAAGGTGTTGGGATGATGTGGGGGAGCGGAGTTACCTCAGCAGTGCAGCACATATCCTGGAACTAAGCAAATGACAGCTGCCGTGGCAAGATTCTGCCACCAGGAGCTGAATGTAAACAAAGCAGGCATTAGGGTTGCAATATTTAGCCGGCTATTGCCATTTAAAATAGCCGATAGCAGGCTGGTTATTGCTCCCAAATACTGCGGATCAGAAGAACGGATCCGAAGGAGTACTTTCTCCTTCAGGTCCACTCCTCTGCTGTTTGACAGCAGGCAGTGGGCGGGTACAGTATCCAGCCTGCAATAGGCTATTGCAATTTAAAATAGCCAATAGCAGCCTGGTTATTGCTCCCTGCCACTGCGGATTGGAGTTTTGCCGCTGATTTTCTACTGCTGGCTGTTGAATGGGAAGAGGGTAGTGGTTAAGTAGCCCCTCCACTGCTATATGTTCACGTTTCCCTCCTCTCATCTGCAATGTGTCCATCCTGGGTATTGATATACCTGCACCGTACAGGTCAGGAGGATTTTTGCCTGCTCCCACAGAAAAGTCAGGTCAGTCGGGGTGGGGGTATGGGCAGAGTCACAGCAGGTGGCAGTGGCTTCACATTGGTGGGCAGTGTTTAAAGCTGATACTGTGGGCGGGCAGGGGAGGTGGCTTATAATCGACAAATTATATATTTTTTTCTCGATGTTTCCCAAAACTGCTATTTTCGGCCGATATGTTTCGTTTGCCGATATATTGATGCATCCCTAGTTAATACATAAGCGGATGAGTAATCATATCACTGTATCTGTGGTCTAGGCCATTTAATTTCTGATCAAATGTTGATTTCTAGCTGTAACGGTTTCCCTCTAAATGGCATGTAAGATGGTAAATGTCCTAATCTGCTGCTATGATGAACTCTTACATGGGCACATTTACAGTTTTGTCCTTAAGATTGAGACCTGCAGTGTCCATTGTGACTGCTGCTCACTCTCTGCGTTATTTGTATATAGGCTTTCAGAGAGTGTTATACTATATGTCTGTATCCTTACAGGTGCCGGAGCTACGGAAGAAGTCTCGGAGGGACTATTTGGTGAAGAGAGAAAAGGACAAGCTGGAGGACCTGGAGGCGGAGATAGCGGATGATGAATATTTGTTTGCCGATTCTGAGCTGACCAGGGTGGAGAAACGGGAATTGGAGTATAAGCGCAGTGTGAGGGATATGGCGAAGGAGTACAAGAAAGCCGGAGAGAAGGAACGCATGGAAAAACATGACCGTTACTTCATGCCTGAGGAGACGAGGAGTAAGGTACATGAGAGTATTGACATGGAAGTCAGAAACTAGGCAGCATAGACAGTCATGAAGCACATCTTACAATATAAAGAGAACCCTTCTAAGACCCTTGCTCTGTCCATTCATTTGATGTCAGGTGCACTGATCAGATTGGCTTGTGACTGGGCAGGATAACTCCAATCTGTGTCCATGGTGCTTGTCCCTATTTCAGAGTGGACAGAGCACTGAAAGAAGACATTGTTTCAGCCAAACAGTTGCTTAGGTCTTGCGTGCATTTACATAATCCGTAAAGTAAAGCTTCTTAATGTGAAATTATTTTCTTAAAGAAGGAAATGTCCGCTAAAAGTGACCTCTAATCACAAATGAGCTGTAGTGTCATTTAAAAAAAAAATAAAATAAGCAGCCAGCTTAAGGCTTTTTAATTGCATCTGATGGGTTTGGCGCTCCCATAAACATATATGGAAATGCAAGATCCACTTAAATCAGGTCAACTGTATGTCATATGTACCCGTTAATGAAATCTGAATGCTCTCAGAAGCATCTCTAACTGATGGCATTGACACAACCCCAAAGCCTGTCAACACTGGCTCTTATTCAACTGCAAAAAAAATGTTGGTTAAAGGAGAACTGTGGGGTTAAGGCTTTTCCCCATAGTTCTCCTTAGGGTAACGGGAGGATACAAACTAGCATCCTCCCGTCACCCTAGGCTCAGTATACCACGATAAGGATTGAGATTAGATTATTGCAGAGATAATAGCCTACCTGCTCAGCACCTTACTTTATCCAGGAATAGCTGTAGTGCACCGGTCCTCCCCAGACTTCTTGTTGCTCTTGTCAGTAATCTGGTGATTCTGGAACACTCATTGCAGGCTCCTTGCTATCACATACAGCAGTGGTTCTCAACCTGTGTAACCTCAGGACTCACATTTGTCCTTGGTCATTAAGTCACGACCCAAATCACACCTCAGCCAGGGGTCCAGTGGGCTGCTGTGCTGTGGTGGAGCTCCATCCATATGTGTATTGCTTGTACAGCTTTCTTGCGTGCCCTGTAGATGGGCCGGGAGCCAGAATGTGATATTACTCTGGTCCAAGCACCTCTACAGGGCACATTGTAAGCAAATGCAAGTATGGGTGGAGCTTGCGGCCATACCCCCACCTCAAGCTGACACTCAGTGGCGGGCAGCATATTTTGAAAGGCTGCTCGGAGCGACAACTGACAGCACTGTGCTAGGGGGTGGTTGAGGACCCTCTCGCCTTGCACAGTGGAAGGCACTTGGCGACCCAGTGAACATGGGGTTGCGACCCACTTTTGGGTCACGACCCACCATTTGAGAACCACGGACATACAGAAAACCTGATGTAAATATAAAGAATTGGATTCTTCTTGGAAGTTTAAATCTGATATGTTGTGCAGGAAATAGAGATAAGAAGCTACACAGTACAAGATTCGGGAAAGTACACTTCTAATGCCCTCCTGCTGACCCTTTTCGATTGTTGTTAGTTTGCTGAGGGATTTAATATATCTTATAATACCTATTACCAGGTATTACAGGTATTTTCACTACATGCTATAGTACAGTTCACAACATTGCTGTTAATGTTTGTATTTTATTGCGGTGCAGAAAATCCCAGACCGCTATGAGGAGCCAGTGACAGAAGAGCGTTTTGCACCTCGAGAAGAGCAGAGACGCTGGGAGGAGGAGCACATTGGAGCAGCGTCTCTGACTTTTGGTGCAAAGGATGCCCGTGCACGTGGACAACAGCAGTATGACTATGTGATGGAGGAAGATGAGGTGATCCAGTTTGTCAGTGCCACACAGATGAAAGGAACTGTGGAGAAGGTAAGAGGTCTCACTGTTACAAACGTGTCCCTTTTTTTGCATGCCAAAAAATACTCATGGCAAGGGCTAAAGATGCATCCCAGTCGTAAACAAATATTTAGCATTTAAATCTCCAGCCATTTTGGGGGGTTTTGGATAGGTGAATGGTGGAGCCGTCCAATAGTAAAGAGAAAAGCAAGCACACCAATTGTAGATCCAGATACAAATTTACCGAGTACCAATATCGGCAGAAAATAACGCTGACGTCTTATCTCAATAATTAGCACCATTATATGAACTTTGTAAAGTTTCATTGCAGAGAAGGGCAAGTACGCATGGGCATTGGCTTTTGAAGTGCATTGCTTGGTTGTTTGTTTGTGTTGGATGTCTTTTGTGCCAGCCTATTGCTTGGCATCCTTATGAGCTAGGAGGGTGTGGACATTGACAGCGCCAATTCAGACAAACAAAGCCATGTGATGGTAGGAAAGTTCCCGGGATGTTAAACCCCCTTCCAGGCCACGCCATTTTTCAGTATTCAGCGCTGAGGTAATTTGACTGACGTTTATTCCGTCATGCAGCGCTATACCGAAATTAAATTTATACTATTTTTTTGGGGACAGATAGAGCTTACTTTTGGTGGTATTTAATCACCACGGGGGTTTTATTTTTTACTATATTATGAAAAAAGTTTTGAAAATTAAAAAAAACTGTTTTCCCTACGTTATGTTATAAAACCTTTACCATTGCCCACTTTTTTGGTAAAAGACGGGGTCACGTCGGGTAAATGGACACCAAACATGTCGAACCTCAAAATTGCGTGCGCCCGTGAAATCGCAAAAAACTACCATGTCTAAAATTGTCCATAAGCGACGCTTTTAAAAGCTGTTACCGCTCATCAGTTTAGTGTTATAAGTGATTAACGGCCCTAAAATTACTGCTCACACTCCCACTTTCGCGGCGATATGTAATGTGTGGCGTAATCGTTGTTTTTTTAACGTTTATTTGTGCGTTTACGCGGCGGCGGGGGACTTATATTTTTTTTTAATGAGAGTTCTATTTTTTTTTTTTTTTACACTTAAAACAGGTCCTCTTTATGCTATCACTTAGGGGACTAACAATCCCCCTATGTGATCGATAATATACAGTGGCAGGTCCTCTTTATGGAGACATCAGGGCCCTCTAAGACCCCTAATGTCACCTAGGGACCCCCATAGAATCTGCTTCACCAGCTTCTTCTCTGGCTATAGCAGCCGGAGAAATGACAGCCTCCACCTTTAGAGAGAACGGAGAGATCAGCGGTGGGGGAATGCAGATCTCTCCCCTCGGTCCCGGGCTAACAAAGGGGGACAGCGGAGCCCGGATAACCAGCGGAGGGGGGGGGGGGGCAAAGCACGGCAAGGGAGGG